AAGGAGGCGGTCCTTCAGGTATCCAGGGCCCAAGCCGTTTAGGGCTTTATATGTCAAAACAAGCACCTTGAATTTTTGGAATATCCTGTCACTTCCCTGTCTTCCGATCAGACGTCTTGTGGTGATTATTCCAACTCACTTCTTAGGGGATCACAATTCACGGTGATCCTCGTGGTGTTTTCCATAAATCAAGCTGAATTATTTAGTTTTGCACTGTCCTGCTCTGGGTGGAAGCAGTGGTACCCCACAAGAAGAAACATGGAGCTCCTTCTACGATTTTTCTGTCCCTACAGGCAGTGTCAATACCATTACCATCACTGGTCCATCATATGTGGTAGAGAACCAGGAGGTCACTTTGACCTGCCATTCTGAAGGCACCGATGTGTCTTACTACTGGCTTAAGGGAAACCAGTCCATCCAAGCAGCAGAAGGTGTCTTTCTGGAGAGCAACACGCTGACGCTGAACCCCACCACCAGGGATGATGCGGCCAACTATACGTGCTACGGGTACAACAGCTTCTCTTCCAACTCCAGTGAGCCTCACTGGCTGGAAGTCTTCTGTAAGTCTAGTCAGACTGCACCTGACCAACAGCCGATTATGGACGACCCATGCTGTAGTCCCAGTCCATAGTCGGTGGTGGATAGAATTTATTTGCATGATCAGATAAGATGCACCTTTGGAGTCCACACCAAAGCCAACGTGGCTGTTTTCAGGAAGGAAGAGAAAAGGATAGAAATATATGCACTGTTCTGGCTGTAACCTTCGTACTCCTAGGCAATATGTGGCAGTCTGTAGATTTGGTACTCATGCTGCATGTCGGGTGGAAACGATCTCCTTTGTTCACTGTTGGGAACAGGATCATTGTTAATGTCATACAGTGATTGCGGATAGGGTGGTTTTCAGTATACAGGATCTCTTATTTCACTTCAGTTGCCGAAGTCTGTAAGCCACATGGCTCGCATTTAGGCACAAATGGGCTAATCTTCAGCTTCATTTGCACTATATTTCAGTCAAATCAGTGGGCCTCTTAGGATGCTGTAGAGATCGACTCATCCCCATCGAGGACAACTTTGTTCTTCAGAAAATGAATACTAAAGGAAAGGTTGAGAGATAAGAATTGAGCTTGAGGCTCACATCGCCCTAGATAAAAGAAGGGAGGAAGCTTGAAGCTAAGGATCCTTAACATGAGTTACTATTTTTGTGCACTTTAATGCAACCTTAGCTGCTGCATTCTCTGGGTATCCCCTTGTTAGGATTGGCTGGGCCTAAAGCATGGATCTCAGAGTAGCGTTAGAAGAAAAATGCTAGGAGCTGTATGTTCTGACATTAACATAGGCAGACGTGAGCAGTGTCAGAGTCGCCTGACCTTTTCCAACATGTGTCTTTCCTACATTTACTCCAGATGGGCCTGATGAACCCTTAATTGAACCCAATAGGAGTGTTTATCAAGAGTTTGAGACCCTTAAGCTCTCTTGCTCTGCCAGCTCCAACCCACCTGCCAATTATTCTTGGTATCACAACGGACAGCCACTGGAACACGGGAACACGTCTCAACTCGAGATCCCATCTCTTTCTCTGAGCGATGGTGGCAATTATACCTGCAATGCCACCAATAATTACACAGGCCTTTTCAATGACACCAGCCTGGAGATCAGCATCCTGGGTGAGTGGATGGGGTGTCGGAGTTAGGACTCCAGGATTGTTCGACAGCTGAAGCATATTTCCCTTCTGACTGTCCTGTTGCCATCTTCGCCTCCTGTCCTCTTAGGGTCGTTTTCTTTGGACCCATGCTGACGCCAACATTTTGGTTCAAATCTTTGGAGAGCTTTCTTCGTACCCTGTCAGCTCCCTATCTTTCCATCAGTCTTCTTGTTTTGATTATTCCAGGTCAGTTCTTGGAACGTTCGTGGTCCATGGTGGGTATTTACGTATATATCAAGCTGAATAATGTACCCTTGCATGGTCTACCTTCTAAATCTCTGACGTAGGTAGTCTATTTCTGAACTGCACACTCTTTTTGCCTGTCGGTGTAACAAGATAAGGAATACAAATGATGTTAATGTTCCAGACACTTCTTTTCTCTGTGCAATGTATTCAAGGCCCTTCCTTCCAGATTTTTGACACTGAGTGTTTCACATCTGTCAGTATAGACCTTGTCAGGCACATGTTCACCATACGTCCTGCGTACTTTATTCTTTTGGTTCCTTACCTGCCTCAGATCTGGGATTGTCCAGATAGAGAACCTCCATTCAAAAACTTTCAGTTTAGTACTATTGCACTTAAAGCAACAACAACAAAAAAAACCCTGCACACAACAACCCTGCGCAAAAATCTAAGAGAAGATCAATTCTAGGGTTTCCTCTTGTCTTTTTTTTTTTTAAGACAGCTGAGATGGGTTAGTAGCTAATGTACACTGCACTAGGAACTTTTTTGATTTAGAGCTAATTTTTTTAAGGGGTAGGGTGTGGAAAATATCCAAGAGTCAAGATCATTCAGCAGGTTTTTAAAGTACTGTAAAGATTTCTTCAAACTTTTTGAAAGACATTTTGTTGGTGCCTTTTCTTAAGTAAATATTGATGCCTTAAGAAAAGAATTGGGGTAGTGTGGAGAGGAATCCAAGTAAGATTGATGCTTAATCAACATCAACCATCACCAATAGGAACAAATGGTCTCTCTGCATGAGTTCTCTGTTACACTTGAGTTCTGTCATCTTGGCTGTCCTTGAGTGAGAATCCAGCACCCATTAGAACCTAAAGAAGGTTCTCTGTACTGTCCTCTCTTTCTACATCTTCAGATTCACTCTTCTGTCCTCCACCATCTTTACCAGGTTCCATCTTACCTTTTGCCCATCACTGAACATTTGATTTCCACCGACTAGCTCTTGGAAATCCAACGAGGGTGATGAATGCAATCTAAGAACTTTCCTGTGCCCTCACTTTTTCTTTGCACCTGTTGACTTGTTTCTCACTACTGTAGTTGATCAGAGTCTTCTGGGTGAACAACCAGCTTCGTTTCCCTGCAACAAATGGATCATACTGGCCAGTCCCAAGCCAGACCTTCAAATCTAGTACAGATTGGCTGCAGTGATGGCGCACCCTTAACCACACCATTTCTGTCTTGGATAACACCTCTTCCTCTTCCCCACTCCCCTCTTTTATTTCTCCACAGAATCCGTCACTAATGTCACAATCACCAGTGACCCCATCAAGGTCTTCGAGAACAATAAGACGGTTCTGACTTGCACCTCGGCAGGCACCTCTGTTTCCTACTTTTGGTTAAAAGGGAGCCAGAGTTTGGAGGCTGATGGACACATCTCCATGACCAACAACAGTCAGGTCCTTACCTTCAATCCAGTGAGCCGGAATGACTCAGACAACTATACCTGCTATGGGAATAACACTTTCTCTAGTAACCACGCCAGCTATGAACTGAATGTTTTCTGTAAGTTTAGTTTTACGATCCAGGGGAAGTTGAGATAAATCTGGGAACAGAGCATGTGGGGGATTGATGTGTGATCTCAATAGTGCAAGGCTGTAACTTTTAAAGGGGAGCATATAAAGAACTTTGGAGACCAGGATTTCAATCCCTACATAGCCAAGGAAATTCACTGGAGGAGTGGAACTGGGTAAAACCACTCCTTAAATATTACAGAGGCTGATTATATGGGCTATTTGGCCCACTGTTTAGAGCACTGACAGGACAGTGATCATATGATGCCCCCAAAGATTGCTTAACCACACCTTTCTGGCCCCTGTTAATGGGCTTCTACATTTCTGGGGCAGGTAGGATCACTCTGGTTTGGGTCGGTTCCAGGGCGTGTCAAGGCTGGAACCAATCCAACACAAGTCTTCCTCCTTTGATTTGCCAATATTTTGAAGTGGCTTAATAATAGTTTGTAATGATGTGCTTCTTCTTGAATTCCTGCCTTTTAATCTCAACCAGCCTCTTCACTCACCCTGCTCTCTCAAGGCTTAATACTAGGCAAAAGATGTACGTACCTATTATGGCTTTATCCTCCGGTGATTCTTTGCAGGAAGGTGCCTCCAAACTAAGTTAGTTGATTTCTCCCATCGAGCTGAATATTTTCCACATCAGCATTTTTCCAATATACTGCCCACTGCTGTATGTGCAGGACTACAACTCATGTGATCCCCATACCCAACTGGATAAAGGATTGTGGGAGTTGTGATTTAACAGATCTGGACGACACCACAGATCTATAATGTAGGAGCTCTTCGTATTTTCAATCAAGGATTGGGTTCTAATCCGTCTAAAATTGCTTAAGAGCGAAACCTGAGACCTTCTATATGTATTCAGAGAGGCAGGTGTTTTCTTCCAGGTAAAAGACCCAACATATACCTAAAGTTGTCCTTAACTAGAACCAGGTGTTCTCCCAACTTCAGATATGTGATCTACCTTTTTTTAAAAAAAGAAATTGTTCCACTCCCTGACTTTGCATATTGCTTCCCCCTTTATTAAGCCTACGTCTGGTTTCCTGCAAATGACTCAAGAGCAAGTCCAAAAATAACACGAAATAAGAAAATTTCAATATGGCCCACACCACAGCTAGTTTATTTAACTTCCCATTTTATAATAGCTGTTTCCTGTTTTGCTCTCTATGCCAAAAAACAAAGTCCATTATAGGGACTCCTTGAGAAAACTTACTAAGGCCATTAAGGGTCTCTAAATTGTTGAACCCAGTTATGGATTCTAGGACTTTAGTTTGTAGAAACTTGGGAATTCTTGACTACAAACTCCCACATCCCCTCTTCAAAACCACAGGGTACCCAAGAACTAATTGTGTTTAAAACTGGCTTACATCTGTTCTCTCTGAAGTAAAGCAACCCGTGGATGTTCCATATTCCTCGAATAGTCATCTCCTCATGCAGTTCATCTTTCTTGTAGTCTGAATAGAAGGAAAATCACCCTTTAGGTGCTCCTCGCGCAGGCTGTGTGCCAACCCAGCTGTACAATCATGTTGTCTTCCACAAACTTAACTGGCTTTCCAAACTTCTGCCTCTCCTGTGTCTACTTCAGATGGGCCTGATGATCTTGTAATCAGCCCTGATAACCTTTACCATGAGAAGGGCTCCAACCTCAATCTCATCTGTAAAGCTGACTCCAACCCACCTGCAAACTACACATGGTCCATTCAGGAGTCTGTGCAGCAAATCGGGAGCACCCTCTCCCTCATTAATCTGTCATTTAATGACACTGGGAATTATACCTGTGAGGCTTTCAACAATGAGACTGGCTTGAACAGCTTTAAAGTCGTGGAGATCAAGGTTCTGGGTGAGTATTTACAGTACTGCATGCTCCCATAAGCCACATAATTTACTTTTGTCTTGGTAATCCTTCTCTTTTTTTTATGCTAGTGATCTGTACACCTACCACATTTTCTGTTTGCATGAAACCCTTTCTTAATTAGAGTTGACCTCCCCCCCCGATCCTTTGGCCTTCTCTTATGCATATTTGGGTATGATTTCTGATCACCCAGCCACATATATTCCTTCATTTACTGTTCTTTGCATGTAATTTTTTTTTCTGGATGTGGTATGACTCCCCATGTCAACATCAGATTCTAGGCATTCAAATTGAAATCAGAAGGTTGTGTTTTTCTGACATTTCAGTTCCTTGGCAGCCTTCTTGTCTGGTTCCTGTTCATTGTATTCTCAAAACTCTTGTCCTTCCATGGGCATATTCTTATGACTTAGAACTGGGTCAGAATCTTGATGCAACAGTTCACAAGAACCCTTCAAAGCTGCTGACAATCCTTTGATTCCAAATCGTTCTGTGTTTTTCTCTATCTCTAGCTCTGGTGCTTTTTAAATTAAAACTGCAAAATCTGTCAAAACGTTCACACACACGCAGACAAATGGTATATATATGTTTTAAAAACTGATTTTCTGTTCTCCTTGAATATATTAATGGAGCATGCGTTTTCTGGGTCTTCCCCAGTTGTTCCTATGCCTTCTTGTTCCTTGAAAACTTTCTGCTTCTCCATTCTTCTTTCCCATCAGAAGTCATTGGTAATCCTGCCATTAATGGTCCATATGAAAAGTCATTGTGGATCTTCTAGCAGTGCTTTAACATCAACAACACCCATTTTGAGGGAGGGGATTTGTGCAACCTTAGAAAAATGTCCCAATATGTTCGTGGCGGGTAGATTTTTATTCAAATATTCCACACATAATAATTTTTTTTTCAAAATTGGTCTGTGGAAGGTGTGTTCCTCCCGCTTCTCAAAAGGAAGTATTTGTCTCAAACAGAATTATGTATCTGTTCAAACTTTAGTCTGGCCAGCCTTCATTGGAAGAAAATAGTTTCAGGAAACAGCACAAAGAAGTAAAAAAAGGTTAAAAGACTTCCCACAGAAATAATGCATTGTGATGTTGTATTGCTGGTTGTACTGATTTTAAAATTGCTGTTTTAAGATAATAAGGCTAAATTGATGGCAAAGAAACATTAACACCCGCTTTTTGGGATTTGCTTTTAATGACTAAAATAATTAAAATAAAAATGACTAGTAGTAGGCATCCTTCAGTCTCGAGAGACTATGGTAAATATGAGTAATGACTAGGATTATACTGAGTTAGAGAATATTCCTTGATCTTACACTTATTTTTCACAATAACGTAAAGAACGATTGGATTGTGCATAAAGTATCAGATTAAATGTTGGTGACCGTCTTGGTTAGGTAAGACTCATAAGGGGGGAGTACTGTTTCCTCAGCTACTAAGCATTTGTTGTATCAAATCCTGTTGCTATGGATAACAAAAATATAGTGCTCTATAATAGATATTGGACTGAAGAAACAGAAGATCTGATGATGTTGACTCAACTCCAGTTTTTTATATAGGCAAAGTTCGTTTCTGAGTATGCTGCAGCTTTCTAGCTTCTGTACCTGGAATATCTAAATATTTAGGCCCACATCTACAAACCTGACTTTAGCTCTTGGTGACCATTTTTTTCTCCCCACCAAAATATTTGAGGACTGTCGTTCTGTGAAACAAATCACAGATCTCTATAGAGAATGCTTATTCTCCAAATGTACAGACAAACGTTGATTCGTAGGATTATTTGGGGGAAGTAAGTGCTAAAGGCCTAGCTTCGGTTTCAAAGAAGCCGTGGATAAAATATTATTGGTAAGCCTCTTCTTTGTGTCTGTGGCCTGTGGCAGGCTTACCCATGCAACCAAATCTAGCCACCATTTTGCATGCTACACACAATACTACAGCACTGTGGAAATCAAAATGGCTGCTGGAATTAGGATTGCCAGTTCTTAAATTTTGGGTCTGAGATGAAGGTTCTCTTGAAGGATGGTTCTGTATATCATGTTTAGGCCGTGAATTCTGACAGGATGGGATGTTACAGGCTGGGCAACCCTAGCTAGGCCTCGGGTTTCAGACACTATTCCGTGTGTTGGACCAGAAAAAAAATAAGAATAAAGAGAATCCATCGTATTGCCAGTAGCCATATGCATGTTTTAAACAGGTAGCATACATTTAAAATACCTTTGGCTAAGAATTGAAGTTTTGTAATGTGCTGTCACTGGAAGGACAGATCCTGAAGCTGAGGCTCCAAGACTTTGGCCATCTCATGAGAAGAGAAGACTCCTTGGAAAAGACCCTGATGTTGGGAAAGTGTGAGGGCAAGAAGAGAAGGGGACGACCGAGGATGAGATGGCTGGACAGTGTTACCGAAGTCTGTTGTTGTTGTTTAGTCATTTAGTCGTGTCCGACTCTTCGTGACCCCTTACCAAAGCAACCAACATGAATCTGACCCATCTCTGGGAGGCAGTGGAAGACAGGAGGGCTTGACGTGCTCTGGTCCATGCAGTCACGAAGAGTCGGACACAACTTAACAACTAAACAACAAGAACAATGTGCTGTATAACCATGGGCAAAATTATGGTTAGAAGTCAGACTTGGGGGATCAAAGCTGAAACCAACCTGTCTCATCATAGTCATTTTTTTTGCATAGTTACATCTGTGTGTACAATTTAGACTGAATATTAGCTCATCCACTGGCTCCACATAAAAGGTGGAATTATTATCTTAATCTGGATTTTTTTTCCTCATTAAATAAGAGATCCCAAATAAATCCATCTTGTGTTAGAATGAACTTCTACCTGGGATACTTTTTTTTTAAACTACAAAGGGCAGGCTGTTTGAAAGGGCATAACGTCATGGGGGACAAGAATAGTAACAGGAAATAGAGAGGATTTTGAGATGATTCAAAGTACTGAAAGAGAGACGTGCCAAGCAACTAGGGAACTGAGCTAACTTTAATACGTTTGCCAATATAATTTCCCTGCAACAGTTGCAGTGCCTCGTGCGTTGTGCTTGCTAGCCAACTTGGCTGGCATCTGTGGCCCAACCCTTCAACTGCTCTGTTCTTTTCCTAACCGTACATGGGAATGACAGATAATGCAGATATCTGTACACATTTCCACAAACTGACAGATAACAAAGAAATAGGTTTTGGTGTTGCTTCAGTTCTTGGGTAAAGAATTCCCCACAGCAGGGAGTTCTTCGATTATGTGAGGAAATACACCTCATCCTTCAGAAAGCAGATGCTAAGAAGCTCTCTAAATGGCTGACAGTATATGTTTTTTAGCATGAGGGGCAAAAAAATAACTGCTAAGATCTCAGATGGTAGCAGAGCAGTTCACAAAGACTACCGGTGTTTGAGACTTGACCGTTCCTCCCCATCGCTGGGAAAAATTGGAATAATTTGTAGAAAACACAAATAGGGAAATAAATGATGCAAAAAGAGAAGTAATCATTCCAGCAGAGAACAAATGATGCAGAATAGAGAGGAAAAAGTAGACATTTGCACAGTAGAAATTTTCCATGTGCAGGATCATATATTGTTTCATGTGAGGACGTTTTACTGTGCTCTTGCCCTTTTATTGAAAATATAGAGTACCACATTTTGTGTTTGTACTGATTTAAATGTGGTTGCTGTTTCTACCCGCTGTGAGGTGGTTTCCACCTGAAGTGTCAACACTTTAGATTAGCAACGTTTATGACTTGCAGCTTAGTACTTTGTCCATTTACCTTGTTGCTTCCTGGCAGGAGGACCTAATTGTGGGCAAAGTGGATTTGTCTTGTCTGTTTGCTCTGTCTTTCGTTTCCTGGAATGTGCAAATCATTGCCTTCTGCTCCTCCCTTTTGCCTCTAATTCACCCCACCCATACAGTGTCCATCATTTATGAACTCTTTAGATGGCTGTTCAAATACAATAGCACTGGGTTATATATATTTTTTCCTCCTCTCAAACTCTGTAAGTAATGCTGTTAGCTTCCTTTCTACTTTCTTGGTGTTTCTCGACTGTAAAACTCGGAACCTAAAAGGTGAAATAGCATGGTGGCTTCTGTCAGTCATCACTCTGGAGAATATTCCAGTTAAAAGATAATTTGCTGATAACGGAGTTCACACTTTGTGTTTGGTCCCAGTTTCTCTGTCTCCCTTTTTCACTTTCTTTGTCTTTTTCTGTCATGTGTTTTAAAGTGTGCTAGTTTCACCAATAGAAGTACTATATTTTTCTGTGTATAAGACCCCCTCCACTTTTCTAATGCAAAATTAAGAAATCTAAGTGGGGCTTAGCGAGTGTAGGGGGAAAGGGATCAAAGCACTGCAGGATTGCTTTGATCCCTGCTTCCCCCTCCACTTGTTTTTTCTCTCTCTTTCCCCAGCTTACTTCTGTGTATAGGACGACCCTCAATTTTTAGTCTAAAGATTTCAGACAAAAGTAGAGTCTTATACATGGAAAAATACAGTACAGCTGCTTTTCAGATTTGTTCATGTGTCCATGTTGCCGAAGGACTGAATGCTGGTAATTCTTTGCGGAAACTCTGAGGGAAATATAACGCCCTCTCGAACGACAGTTCTCATTGCTCTTTATTTTCTTTAGAATTCCTCTTGAATGTCTTCATGGACACAAGAGAACCAGTTAATTTATGTGTGATGTAATTAATTAATTTATTTATCTATGCCATTAAAATATTTTTGAGGAAAAAATTAACAGTTGAAATGTACAAATCACCCTCTTTGGCCTCACTCTTCCTCCTCTTGGCTGCCCCCCCCTTTTGGAGTGGAGCCCAAGAGGTAGCAGCCCATCTGAAAAAGAAATGGCCCTCAGCTCTACAAGCATATATTTTAAATTATGCAGCACCAGCCCAAAAATGGTTTGCTCCATCTCTGAGCCTTGGCAGACATGGTAGAGGAGTCTCTTACTGTTAATTTCCAAAGTGCCATTATAGATGAGAGGTGCTGGCTTCTGAGCTTGGGAGCCAGGATTGTTGGGTCAAACATCTCTCACAGGAAGGAATCGGCAATTCCTGGAGCTGCTGGTGGTGGTCTGATCACTTGCTTTCTTCAAGAGAACTATCAGTAACAAGGCGGAAATATAGCACACCTTGTCCTGTTTCTCTAGGACGTTCTGACTGACCCAGAGGAAAAGACAAGAAAATAGTCAGTGGTGATCTTTTCTCAAAAGGACCAACCTGGCTAGCCTAGGGACATTTTGCTGCTGGAGGCTACCCACCTCATGTTTATCTGCTCTTATCCAATGCTGGTCAAGTTGTGCTGGAGGAAGGAAGTTCCTCAAACACCTTTCACCATCTCTAGCAGCAAAACTATAATAATCGCCCCGAGTAGACATGGTCTAGAGGGGTGGGGTATGTATGTAATAAATAAATAAATAAATAAATAAATAAATAAATAAATAAAAACAACAAGCAAAATAGCTCATAATTTGCTACGTTCCCGTAGCATGCAACAGTTGTCTCATGAACTCATTGCCTCGCTCTGCCTAATGATAGGACCGGCCCTGAATACTTAAAGCCTACTCAGTGCTTATTGAATGTTTTGTCATTTTGTTTAATATTAATGGAAGTTGTCCTGGCTTCTGGATATTCTCAAACAGAAGAACACCATATAAAAGAAAGCAAACGTCCTATAGTGCTGGATTTTCTATCTCACTAGATCCTCACAAAGGTTGGAAAACCTTTTACTACTTCTAATGATATAAAATGCACAAACCCCAGTTATATATCTCATTCATTACACATTAGCAGCACACAGCCCACACCGTTTTTATTCCTGTAAAATTGTTATAGTATCTTTTTGCCTATTTTCCTTTGGCTGAATAAAGTTGTCCAGCACCTTAACAGGAAAAAGGATAAACAGCCAAGAGTAAACACTTGGGAAGTTTAAAGGTAGTTAACCTAATGTATTGCTTAAAAATGAAGACAGGAAAATTTAAAAGTGTATTTTCATAGCAGCCTCTGAGAAATTGCTTTTGATGTCATTTGAGTATTTTTTTCAAGTCACATGGTCACTTACTAGCTCCCACTGCTGATCTTTGGTATTCTGTGGCAGGCATGAAATGGTGGTACTCAGGACTTCCATGCATTTCAGTTCCTTGAACACAACAACAATCATCATCATAAGCACATGCTTCCACAAGATCAGGATGCTGCTCTAAGAATGATGCAACCTGCAACAATATACTGTATTGTGACAATATACAGTATTACGTATTGTATTGACAATATATCACATAGGTTGCAGGAGAAGCCTAAAGTGCTGTTCCTTAATGGCCACACTTGACACAACCTTGGCCAGATTTAGAGGCCATGAGAACACAGGAAGGATGAAACATCTTTGTGTTTTGTGTGCAGAAAAGCTCTCCCAGCCAATCCTGTCGCCTGTGAATTATGTGGCACTCGAGAACGAGAACATCATCTTGTATTGTAACATATCCAGCAGCACCGCTTTCAGCATTTCCTGGTTCAGGAATGATGGGCCTGTGTCACCAGAGGCAGACATTTCTGAAAATAAGAAAAACCTTACTCTACGTAACTTCACCAGTGCCGATGCAGGGATCTATACATGTGTGGCCAGCAACCAGATCAGCAGTGAAACGAGCAACCCCAGCAGCATAACCTTGGCATGTGAGTAATCCCAGTGCAAGTATGCCTCTCCTCCTCCCTTTGCTGCATGTCTGTAGCAGAAAAAGTATCAGTGACACCAAATAAGCTATGACTTCCAAAATGACAAAACCTGAAGCTCATAACTGCGCAGAAACTGAATCTCTCATTCCCTAATCTTGACGACTAAAGGTTGCGGATGATGCTCACAAGCACCCTTCTCTTCAACCATGTTGTGAAACCGGGTGCTATCGCTGCTCCCCAGTGAACCTTGCTCAATGGGACGGTGCATGGACGTTGGGCTTACACGGTGAACAGCTCTTCCCCCTGTTTCCATCCATTCTCTTTGCCCTGATTCTCTTTCCTTTCCTTTCTAGATGGGCCTGTGGACATTAAAGTGGAGCCAGCAGGTGTCATAACCCTGAAACTAGCTTCCAAGTTGGATCTGCTGTGTACGGCGGACTCCAACCCTGCAGCAGAGTTTCAGTGGTTTATCAATGGTACTGTCCAGAGTGTGACGAATAACAGATTCAGTGTTGACTCGGTGGCCTGGAAAGATGGAGGGAATTACACTTGTCAGGCCAACAACACCGTCACCAAAAACCATGTCTCGACGTCTGTCATTGTGAAGGTGGCAAACCAGGGTGAGTCCCCAGAACTGAACATTCATCCCCTGTTTGCCACTGGTTCCATCAAATCTCTGAAGTGGCTGAGACCTCCCACTCCCAGTTATGCAGGGAAGTGCCCATTCTCACCTAGAGACATAAATTATATTCCTATAAAATAAGATATAACTGAGCCATAAACTTATTTCAAACTAATCTTTAATGACGGCCTGAGTCACGTGGTCAGTAGAGGCTTATGTTTAAGCATCCGCCGTGTTGTCAAAGATGGGGTGTATTGCATAGAGGTGAGTGATCAGGCTGGCAAGAAAAGGGTAGAACAACTTTTTCTCTGTGCCGAGCATAATGACCAAGGAGGTTGCCAGAGAAAATTGTGCCCTCTGTCATACCGAACATGGCCATGTAGCCAGCTGCTGAAAGCAGGATGGGACCCTCCACTCCTCTCCCAACAAGTCACAGATTACTAGCTATTTTTTTTTTTTGACTTATTTGCAAAACTGCCACTCCCCCCTCCAATTCTCCTGTCTTCCTTCTCCAGAAAGTGACACTTGCTACATCTGAACATGTAAGATTGCAGTTAAAGAGATACGATCAGGGTTGGTTAGTGGACTGGTTTCCTTGTACGTTTGTTTATCAGGCTCTGTTCTTGTCTTCTGTACACGAAAGCTAGAAAACCCTGCAGCGCCCTTTGGTTCGTCAGGAGGTGGGGAGGGTTGATTATGGAGGAGTCAACGGTCCTGGCAGTTTTAGCCTCTGTACGAGCTGAATAGGTTTCAGAAGGGTGTAGTCCAAGCAGTGCCTGCCATGCAGTCACACATCTCTCTTTTATGGTCACGGTTTCTGGGTTGCTACCCAAGGGCCAGAACTTTCATAAAACCAGCTGCTGTACCAAGAAACAAGGTGACCATGTCTTTGGTGATCTGTTCTCTCTTTCTTTGCCCATTGCTTTGATCCACCCTTCTTTGACAAACCACAGTGGTGCCTCACAAGACGAATTTAATTCGTTCCGCGGTTAATAGTGTCTTGCAAAAAATTTGTCTTGCGAAACGTGTTTTCCCATAGGAATCCATTGAGATCTAATGAATGCATCCCTATGGGCAAAAAAAAGTGAGAACAAAGTCAAATTTGGTTTACAAAGGGTTTATTAAGTGCTCTTTAAAGCCATACATATTGTGCAGATGATTTTTTTAAAAATTCAATAAAAAAAAACTTCAACTTTTTAAACATCATAGAAAAACATTTAAAAATCAGCAAACATGAGGCAGGAACAAAAAAACAGAAAACATTCTTCTTGCGAAGCACAGCCATAGGAACATTTGTCTTGCGAGTCATCGACAACCCCCCCATTGCCAAAACCATCTTGCCAGCCTTTTGTCCTGCGAGGCACCTCTGTATAGTGAGGAGGAATCCAGGGGATCCATGGAAAAACGAGAAGATGTAAAGGAAGGATGAGGGAGATGATAGTGTCTCTCCAGAGGCGTTGATGGGGTGAAAACAGCAGTTCTGGAAATGAATATCACAAGAAAACTGGAAACATGGCATGTGAATTTAATATAGCTGAAGGCCTTGTGAACCCATACTAGGGTTCACTCATACCCATACTAGGTCTCTCTGGCTTTTTTCTTCTTCTTTTCTTTCTATATCATGTCTTCATGGAAAGCCGTTGGTTCTGTGGGTCCTTCAAGACAAAGCCAGAGATCAGGAAAGTTAGCTTTAGGAATTAAAACTCCCATGATCTGCAGTTCTCTAGGAAGTAGTCCAATAAAGTAACTTCTCCAGGTGTTGAAAGAGGCTTTTAGCGTACAACCGCCCTGTCTCTCATTTATAAAACTCTTCTGTGTTTTGGCATTGCTTCCCTCATATGTTTATCACTAGTATTTAAAAGTTTTGCCATGCGGTCTGTAAGTAAAAGTGGGGAGCGGCAGAGTTGGGTAACGCTCTTATTTCACCAACAAAATTATTAAAATGAACTCTTCATCAGGCTAGGCATTACAAAAATTGGGTCTGAGAAGAGGTAGAAAATTTCAGAATTTACCCTAGGCGGATATTATGGCCATGGGATGGGAGCCATTGTTACCTAAGTGCTAAAATGTGAGAATCATGGGGGGATTTTGAGAGAATCAAAGTCCTGTCTCCTGTAGATAAAGGGTCAACATGGACTTAGCAAGCTGTTCGTTCACTCCCTTTTTGTTGAAGTCCATGGTTCCTGTGTTGGGACAGAGCAAATCGCACTCACTTGCCTCCGTGGATTTGCATGGGGATTTCAGCATTTTCATTGCTTCATGACAGCAGGAAACGAGGAGCCCCGGAGATTCCATCTGAACAAGCCCTGGTTCCTTATGTGAACTGGCGTGGTGTCACGCTTTAAGAACTGGTTTGGAACTTAGGAGAAACAGATTCTGAAACTCAGAGGGTGACTTTGAGTCCGTCTCCCGCTTTCTCTTAGTCTGATCTGTTTTACAAGGTTGTCGTGTTGGAGGGCACCAAGGGCCTGGAGGAAAGATGGGAAACAGATGTTGAGTGTAATATTAATATGTGGATACTCTGTGATTTTTCTTTATGCATTGCTTTTGAGTTCAGTTTCATTTTGAGAGTATCTCTGAAACTTGGAGATCTTCTTGGGCTATAAAGTAGAGAATAAGTGTTCTAAGTAAACAAACAAAATGAAACAAAAATTACCTGCTCTCCAAGGTGCCTGGTTGATGTCCTCCCTCGAGTGCCATGACATTTGGCTCACCTATTTTTGATCAGGAGGGCAAATCCAGGTCAGGTACTCAGACACAGCAGGTGGGACTCTCTAAAAACAATTGATCCACACTCTTGTACATTCTATGCATAGAACATTTTCCAGTTAAAGAACGGAAGTCTCCAGTTGTCATTCAGCAAACGGCATGAGTGAGCTCTCAGATTTTGGGGAATGGTCCAGCGACGCTGGATGGTTTCCAAACGGGTGACCTTTTTTTGTTATTTTCTTTACCTAGAATCATCCTGGTATCTAACTGGAATGTGTTGATCTAGAACAACTGCCTAGCCCAGGTTGCATAAAGACAAAGCAGAGACAGAATACCCTCTTCTTTCATAAGTACACATCCGAAGGATCTCTGTGTGTTTGACAGAAAGCCACTTCTCATATTACCTTTTCATTGTGGGATCTGCAGCAGGGTGTTTCCTTCCTGCACACACACAAATACATTTTCAGAAACTTTTGACCCTTTGGAAAAGCTCCATGCTACAAATCATAGGGCACTCTTTGCACAGAGAAATGTCACATAACAATCCGAGGCTACGGTCGTGCTGTACAAAAGATTTGCACAATAACCACTCTGTTGCGGAAGCAAAATCGGGGTTTTGATCTTTTTTGGACAAGAGCTCCCGGAATCTCTCCCCAGGCATAGCCACAGGCCATGCTAGCTTGAGGGGAATCTGGAAGTTATTCCCCTGAAGAGTAGCTTCTGCATGCTCTTTGAAAAGGTAATCTGTGAAGTAGAGCGGTGTGGATAAACAGTGCGTTAAGGGCTAACTAATGTACAATGAAACCTTCTCTATACAGTATATATAGATATATCCTTAGCAACAAAGTGGTGTAAATCTAAAGTGGAGGCCATCCGCCGGGTCCCCATCAGCAATGGAAAAAGCGACATTTGAGCAATGCATCTTAAAATTGCCTTGAAAACTTAGAAGGGCTTCCTTGAAGCTTCTCTGTTTCCATGTGATCCACAGAGGTGAGTGGGGGGAAACTGTGGCTGCAGGCCCTCCAGATTTCACTGACTATTTTTTCCCCGCCCCCCACTTTTTCCCCAAAGATGCGCCTGGTGGCGGCGGCGGTGGCCTCTCTGGCGGAGCGATTGCAGGGATCGTCATAGGCTGCCTGGCGGCCGTAATACTCATTGTAGGTGTGCTGTATTACGTATGCACCAAAACCTCGTTGGGGTAAGTCATCCCTTCTGGATTTCTCGGATCGCGCCCTCTCCTGTGCTCCCACCCCAGAATGCCTTTCCTGTCTTCCCCAGCTTCTCCAGAAATTTCCAGCACTGCCAGCCTGGCTGATTTCAGTCTGTTTTTTTTTTTTTGCTTGCTTTCGGGAGGTTGAGGCTGTCTCCTTGGTGGGGGCTGCTTTCCTGGGTTTCCCCACCCTTAGTGGGAGATGCTTGCCCCCACAGGTCTCTTGGAAACAATCGAGGGGTCCTGTTATTTCGGTCTCCCTTTCCACCCAAGCACTCAAACACTATCTATTCTAGGGCATTCCGATTCAATGGGTTCTCAAAAAAGGCCAAAGAGCACCTTCTGTTACCATTTTGATGCTTTAATGGTGGAAACTAAAGTAGCAGAAATGTCATATTTTACATTACCATCCTCTCTGTCCAAGGTAATTGGAATTGCAAATACAAACATATGGACACAGAGAGAGCGCAAGACTGAGTCGGGGGAGAGGGTAACTAGATGGGTTTGATTGTTTTAAGAAGAGTTAAGGGTTGTTAAGGCAAGGATATTAGATCTCCTCTTGCCAAGTACAGTGCTTTATATTTCCACTTTCTTTGCTCGTTAAGTTCAAATTGCATCTATTGTTAGGGGGGAATCATAGCAGAAGAAAATTCAAATGGAGAAAAACAGGAGTTGAACTGGGGACCTGAATTGGCAATATGAAATTTCAGCAATTTTTCAGCAGGAGGCCATTCTCCCCTCCATCCGTATGCACATAGATGCATGTGTATACGTGCGCGCGCACGGTCTCAGAACAATGCCTGCTTCCAGGGAGTTTTCGTCACTGCAACCCTCAGAAAATGAAAGGTTCAAAAAGAGTTAAGCAACGGCTGCCACTTTTAGGTCATGACGCCACTACCGCCTATCCTGAGGCAATCCGTGCCGAACTGAGAGGATAGTCGCTTCCTCTTGGGTAAAAATTCTGAGGTGTACATTCAAACTAGAAGAAAATTTCTTGGCGTCCTTCAGTTTTTAAAAAAACGGACACACAAGAATGTTTGTTTGTGTGCGTATGTGAGCGAGCGAGCGAGAGCGGTGGCTTTCAGACAGTGTGGCGAAATCTGATGCTTCCCAACGAAACCACGAGCGACGGCAGACAAATGTCTTTGGATGATGGGGCCCAAAGCAGTGTTTTCAGCTCCCGATATGTTGCCTCTACACAGCCCTGGGTATGGCAAACCTATGGCACGCGTGCTGCAGCTGGCATACAGAGCCCTCTCTGTGGGCACGCGAGCCATAAGTCGCCATCGAGAAATACTTACCCATCCTCTGATCCCGGATTTCGGCACTCCCCTCTGCTGGTCCAGCGGTCCAGCGGAGAGGTGACATGACCAGTCTAGCCCAGTGGGGGATTGGAGGACCCGTAATTATTTCTTTGTTAATACTGCCCCTAGAAAAAAGAAAAAACCAACAACCAAGGATTTTACCCTTGCAGTGCAGGAGCAGTTGTGTTTTGCCAACAACCAAGAATTTGCAGGAGCAGTTGTGTGGTTTTTTTTTCTAAACTCAAACCTCAGTATTCAGGTTTTAATTGCAGTGTTGGCCTTTTTGAAATCAATGAGTTGGTTTTGTGTTGCCGTTTGGGCACTCGGGCTCAAAAAGGTTCACCAGCCCTTCTCTAGCCCTTCGCTCAGTTCACACCATAAAACAGTGGCAGGCCCAAGGAGACACGCATCATCGCCACCTCCTCAGTGTCTGCCCCCTGCTCGCCACCTCCCATGGTCTCATGCTGAGGAGTCAGGCTTCCGCTAAAGGCCATGTGAGTAAGTTAGCCGCAGACTCTGGCTGTGGCCTGGAGCCAGTGTTGTCTCTGGGCCCGACGTTTCCACAGCACCTTGCTCTGAGAATGCTCTTTCTCCCTGCATTTTGCATTGGGATCGCTGGGGAAGCTTAAGGAGGAACCTCTCTCTTTCATACCCCAGAAGTTTTCATCCAGATTACAGTGGCGCCTCGCTTTATGATTGCCCTGCATTATGACAAATCCGCTTTACGATGATCTTTTTGTGATCGCAATTGTGATCGCAAAACGATGGTCTAAATGGGGAATTTTGCTTTGCGATGATCGGTTCCCTGCTTCGGGAACCGATTCTTCGCAAAACGATGTTTTTCTAACAGCTGATCGACGGTTTCAAAATGGCCGCCGGGTAATTAAAATGGCTCCCCCCAGTGTTTAGGGACAGATTTGTCGCTATACAGGCAGCGAAAATGGCCACCGTATGGAGGATCTTCGCTGGACGGTGAGTTTTTACCCTATTGGAATGCACTGAATGGGTTTCAATGCGTTTCAATTGGGGTTTTTATTTTGCTTTACAATGTTTTCGCTTAACGGCGATTTTCCTGAAACGGATTATCGTTGTTAAGCGAGGCACCACTGTATTTTTTTCTCCCATCAAGGAACAATTGGGTATGGGTACAGGTGTGTGTGTGTGCATGTGTGGGTGTGTGTATACAGCTCTCTGAGCCCACAACCATCATCACATGCAGCCCTAGGTACCAATAAAAGGTGATGCAGCCCTTTCATAGGCACCCTTAGAGACAGGTCAAGAAGCAGTACAGATTCAATCGATGTAGAAATTTAAAAACCATTGGGGGCTGACCTTTAGAGAGATAATAAATAGGGAGGATGGGGGGTACACTATTTCAGATGATTTGTCAGTCCTATGGGTCATAAGATAACATGCTGGATCGGTTGCGGGAGGGACCCCTGCTTGCTATAGGATCACCCAGTGTCTGCTGTTTACCTAGGAGGACGGAGCACCACATATCCAATGGAAACGTTCCCTCTGCACCCGGCCACAGTAAGTATCAGCCCTATGGGCTGGGCCGGGGCTTGCGTGACGCATGCCGTGTGCTCTGTGCTCTTCTCACTATTACTATTAAGACCACCACCTAGCTGCCCCATGATTCAGAGGGATCCTTTATAAGTCATCCATGCTGAAGTTGCAGAGAAGGGAGATGGTTCTTCTTGTGCACCAGATGAGGTACCTTACTTCATCCCCCCACCCAAATGCATCACAAGAAGCAATGGTAGCTGGTGATTCCCATTTCAGAGAAGCTGTAAATCCACTCCGGGGTTTAGTTTTTTCCTTAACAGGAGCTGTCCACAGTGCTGAATAATGTTCCCCAAAACTGGTTCAGCTTCTTGAATAACTCCTGTAAAAAGTAGACTAAAAGCTGGAGTGGAATCCTAACACCGCTGGAACTGGAGTCACCAGATGCTACTAATGGGAAACCTCTGTGGTGCTTTTTTTAAAAAAAAAAATAAATGGAGCTGGGGTGGAGATAGGACTTCACAGATAATCCAGTTCCCATTTCCAAGAGCCTGGCTGAGCATCTTTTCCCTGACCCTACCATGGCAGTCTCCATTCCTTTGGGGAAAGGTGGCTACTCTGTCTTGTGGAGTACCAGTGTCTTCCTCTCCTTTATTGTTCTTTCCCCTGCAAACCCTTGCATCCTCTTCTGGGATTCCTGCCCGCAGCAACTCTAGAACAACCTGGTGGTGGGAAATGCTCGTGTTCATACCTGAGGTTCATGGGAGGTGGGTCTGAATGGAGAGTTTATTTTTGCCCTTCTCCGTCACTCACTACGATTGACCTAGAACGGCATCCATCAAATCCAGTTCTGTGCCTGCTTCCTTGCCGTGTTGAGTTTCCATTTGAAGCAAGGGATGGAAGAGAAAGCATGGAGTGGTGGTCCACCTGTAAAAGCAGGTGGTTCGGCGCCCTTGGTTTGAGCGGGTGGGCTTCAGACTTCTCAGGAGCCAGCCCAGGTACAAAGGTGAGATGGATGGAGTTGGAGCCAGCAGGAATGGGATGAGTTGGCGAACAGGCTGGGCGTGCAAGGCCCCAAGCTGTTAGACAATTGCCTTGATTGCTTTAATGTAGGATGACCAGATCCCAGACATCCGGGATCCTTAAGAGTTGCACAAAGGGAGAACCCTGATGATGAGGGCGACAAATCCCTAGCACAATATTTTCTTTGCGTTCATTGCTTTGGCTGACTAATCCTGTTGGAGTCCTGCCCGCTTTTGCTAACCTGGTGGGAGTCCCCGGAGATCATACTCTTCTTTTTAAGTCAGGGTGAAAATCATGGGTTTTTCCAATGTTCCCTGCTTGGCTGTGGAGGGCTTGGGCACACAGCTCGGTCTGTTATACGTTCCCTGATTCCATCTCTCTGTCCTGTCTCTGTCATTTCAGACCAGGGCGTTACTGACACCAAGCCCAGATCGGTAAGAACGAAACCTTTATGATCTTAATGGATCCAGACTCTGGAGTTTGGTAGCCAGCTGTAGGAGCGGAAAAGAAGGGGGAATGGCGTTCAGGATCATTGCAGAGGAGAGGGGAGGTTTTATGGGTTTCAGGGAACCGTTCCCAATCGTGGGAAAGGAAGAGGATCTTCAGAACCCCTAGCAGCTTTTTCACCAGCCCCTGTTCCTAATTCTTGACAGGAGTTGCAAAAAAAAAATCAAAGTAACCATTAGTTGTAGCTGAAATTATTGCTTGACCACAGAGAGTGTCTAGTGGGGACCTTTAAAAGGCAAATCCTGGGCTTTAGTCACAAAAGTCTATCCTCCATATTGGAATCCCCATATTTTTGGTTTCTGCTTCCATCTTTTTCTCTCTTTTAAAGAGGGAAAAGATGGCATAGCTGTGCCTTTTGAGTAGGTCCTCTGCCTGGAAGCCAGTACAGGTAAAAGCCATCCAGGTATGTCACCCCCCCCCCAACTCCAGCCAGTCGGTATCCATAAGATGAATGGATGATAATGATTCAGAAATCCAGGATTCCAGTCTCAAAGGTGAGTAAAGCATAGTGTTCATAATGGGATTTGGAGTGCCTTGAAGATTCTTTTTTCTTTTTTCTGTCCCTCTCTGTCTCGCTTGGGTAAACTGGGTAAGTCTATACAGATAATCCACTGAGCCTTATGGTGCAGTGGTTGAACTGCAGTACTACAGTCATGACTCTGCTCATGACGGCCTTCCATCTTTCCAAGATTGGTAAATTGAGTGCCCAGCTTGCTGGGGGTGGGGGGCAATGTCTAGCCAGCATCATTAAATTATAAACCACCCAGAGAGGGGGTCAATGTGTAGCCAGCATCATTAAATTATAAACCACCTAGAGAGTGCATTAAGCGCTATGGTTTGGTATAGAAGCAGCACACCTTGCTTTGTTTTATAGTGTGTTGGTTACATCAAGAGAATTTTGCCCTGCGCCAAGCACAAAGATGTAAGGGGAATCATCACTGTAACCATCCTTAAGGAATGAAATCTGTGGTTGTCAAAGGCTTCCCTATGAAGTCCTGTAGCATTGCTACAGACTGTTCTGTAACATAAGCAAATCCATATGTTTTGGTCTATTCTTTGCCAATAAATAAAGAACCCTCACTATGCTTCTTGCACCAAGCTAGTAGGTGCACATACCTCCGAGAATCACTCAAGAGGCTCCTTATTTACCAGTGAGGAACAGACTGAAACTTAGGAATTTGTTTACTGTACATAACAGAATTTCAGGCAATGTGGATTCGCCAAGGGTGAATTTTAGGAAATTCAGGAAGTCAATTTAAGGAAATTTAGGAAACAGTTTTTCCTAAAATGCAATGATGGATGCAATGGTTTTAAATTACCCTATTCCTGGACCTTTAACTGGACCCCTAGCTAAACATTTTGCAGGGAGGGGGTTGAAGAGCCGAGAGCAGCAATTTGGGGATGGGAGAAATCAAAGCAAAATAGGTAAAACCAAAATACACCATTCCAAACAGTGCCTGCAAGTCATTTCATTCCAGGAGATCCAAATGAATGACAGTTTCATGCTTGACCAGTTTTTTAGAAGTAAATGGCTAGCTTTCCCCGGCACTTCCGCGTTTCTTGGCCAGATTCCTGGACAGGAGGCAAAAAATGGATCATAAAAGGGTGCTTGCATGTTTTTTTAATATATTTGCACCGGTAAATGACCTAGGACATGTTGATTTTAAAAAATGAGCCGGAAATTTGGGAAGTGGGCTGTATTTTACATCCCCTTCGCCCCTTCTTAGGATCTGTTTCTAATCATTCTGGGCGCCCTTCAACCCCATTTTGTTCTTTCTTACAGGGTGAAGAGGACATACAATATACAACATTAGCCTTCAATGCCAAAACCCCTCCTCAGCCAGCCTCAGGGGATGCTCAACCTTCGGACGGCACTATAATTTACTCTGAAATCAAGAAGAAATGATCAGGGATCCAGGACCTCCTTCCTTAACGTCTCTTTCCTGTTTTCCTTGCCCAGGATTCTCACAGGCAAGGCAGTTTAAAACAAAAAAACAAGAACTGTTGCTTGTTTGGAGGAGCAAGAAATGAGACGGTCCTTCCCTCACACAAGTAATTCAGATTCCACCTATGCCCTTTTCCCTCACTTCATGCCTGGCCACCTGGTATAATAACCAGGTTGGCAACGACACCAGGCGATCAAAGGGGAGGCCTTCGGTTCATCCTGGTGTGCGCGCCAATTGAGACGGTTTGTGCCTCAGAAGTGGGTGGGGGGAAAACCTAGCAACATATATTTATATTTCCATTCTTCTTCCGGCAACCCTGTCCTATCCCTTCCCCAACTGGCACAGTTGCTTTTATTGCATAAACCCTGGACGGCCAAATTTCCCTTCTTTGAGGTGTCTCCTGAGCCCTGTGTTGCCAGGTAGCTGCCTTTCCTGCGTCCACATCCCGGCTCCCCGTTGGGGAAACTTGAATGCGCAGCACCAGGGCAACTGCAAACTCAATACCTGGGGGAGGAAATCAAGCCGGCCTTCTGGATCTGCAATGAACAGACCGGCCAAGTTTTTGCCTTCCCATCTGGCTTCAGATCTGAGCAGGACTTAGATTGGGGGCGTGGGGAAGAGGGAGTTACGTTTTTGGCCATTCCTATGTGCTCTTTCCTGCTTAGCTATGCTTATGTCAATGTGCGGATCTAAGATCACTCCACAGGTGAACCCCTGGGGTCAATGGCTCAGGGGTAGGTGCAGAGGAAAAAAGGGCAAGGCAGGGTGGCTAAGAGCCACCCTAATTGTTTCTCCTGTGCTAGGCATGGCCAGTGCTTCCTGCTCTCTCCAGATTCATCCACACCATTTTTGATTCACAGCCAGATGGCCAAAGCCGCAACATGATGTACTGCGATGCAAACCCCATCAAACTGGTTTGGTCAAATCCAGAATGCTCCAGGAGAATCAGGGTGTGTCTGGAAGAGTGTTAACCTGGCAGATGGGGGATTTTCCCAATTTAGTAGTTTCTACAAGTAAGAACGTAATTTAAAGTGGCATTTGGACAGTGGCTAAGGTGTTTGATTGCACTCCATCTGGGAAAGGAGGTGTATGATCTGTCATCTTATCCCGTTAGCTGCTACAGAATCAGTGGATGGAGCGCTGTGGCTGGCTGCAAGAAGCCTTCCTTTAAAAGCCCAGCTCAGCCATGATGCCCACTGAAGCAGCCTTGAGCGGGTCACTCTCTATCCCTCAGACCTGCCTTCCAGCGTTGGCACGAGGCTCCGTTGGCGAAGGAAAGCTGCATTACCTTGAGCCTTTGGGCTGGGTGGAGATGGGGGAAATTAAAAACAAAAGGGGGAAAAAAATCAGAGTCTAATGTGGGAGTCAGGATTCCAGCTTCATTCACTCCCTCCTCGCAGTGAAGAATGTTTCCCTCAGCTGGCAGGATGGAACTGTTTTGTTCAATGCAATCAAGTGTGAAGAGCAGGGGCTGTGTTTGTGGTCAGCCGTTGGTTGTTTTGCTTTGAACATCGGAATAGCTGTGCAGCCAAGCAGCTTCGACCCAACGGGGCCAACTTTCCAAACCTTGTCGTCCTTCGTCTGACTTATATAAACCCAAACCTTGTAAGACCTCCAGTCGAAGTGGGTAGGGAAGGAGCTGATCTTTGTTGTCAGCTGCTCGTTTGTGCGATGGCCGCCATAGCAATCACCCCCACCACCACCACCATTGTGGCCAGCATGCCAAAGTTTGTCATCTTTGACCGAGAGTTAAAGTGCCCCTGTCGTACGATAAGATCTCGTACACTCCGATCCTTGCTAATTGTTGGGTGGGGCAGGAAGACGGCAGGCATTCATGCTAAAATGTCAGGCAAAAAAAGACAATAGAGCAGTGTTTGGAACAAACGTTGCACTCATGCCTTCAGCTTCGAAATCCTCCCATCTTGAAGAAGCTTGATGCCGGTTGCTGGCCAAAGAATCTCATTGGAAAGAAGCTTCTTTGTTTTCTTACTGCACCCGACTGGCCCGTTGGTTAAGGGTGCAAATTGGGAAACTGTGTTGATTGCGCAAAAAATTGGGCTGTTCCTTTGGTGTTTGTACTTTGAATCATTTTTTGTTTTTAATAAAATAAAAAAGAAATCAAGAATAGAAGAAGCCTTTTGTCTATTGTAAGTGGCTGAGCAGGCAAGAATAAGGTTATTGACTTGACAAGGTGGGGGAAACCTGACCTAAATGGGCCAGCAGAGGACTTAACGTAGGCTGTCCTTCAGAACTAGTGAATGGTGGCCCACAAGGAGAGCAATCCAGTAATTTTGCTTCTTCCTAGTGCCTCCTAAAGCATGCAATAACCATATCAAACGCCTTGTTAAGGAGAAATGGGCACGAAACAAACTATGAAGCAAAAAAAAATCCCACGTGAATTGATCCACTTCATGGTTCATTTTAGGACACTTTGGGTAAATGCACCTGCCTAGAATGAAAGAATCCACCAAATTATTATAGGCATTGGTGATTCATACACTGACTGAAGAACACTTTCTTGGGGGGACCTGCTGGGGGAGGGGGAAGGTTATAATTCGGGTGTGCTAAATCCAGTCTTCACCAGACTTGGGTGGTGGTGGTGAGGAGAATCAGCTGAAGACTATTCAAGTTTGGCACCTCTGACTTGTGAGTCGCCGTTCTGCTGCTCCTGGAAGTCCAAAATTGCACAAACTAAATTGCACGTGGTGGCGACAAGGGACGTGGTGGCACTGCGGGCTAAACCGCAGAAGCCTGTGCTGCAGGGTCACAAGACCAAGCAGTCGTAAGATCGAATCCACGTGACGGAGTGAGCTCCCGCCGCTTGTCCCAGCTCCCGCCAACCTAGTGGTTCGAAAGCATGCAAATGCGAGTAGATAAACTTTCTTGGGGGGACCTGCTGGGGGAGGGGGAAAGTTATAATTCGGGTGTGCTAAATCCAATCTTCACCAGACTTGGGTGGTGGTGGTGAGGAGAATCAGCTGAAGACTATTCAAGTTTGGCACCTCTGACTCGTGAGTCGCCGTTCTGCTGCTCCCAGAAGTCCAAAATTGCACAAACTAAAAAAAAAAAAAATACATTTTATTGGAAAGTTTGTGGTCTTGTTCATGAGTAGTAATGAACCATGAACTGCCCTGCTTGCAAGCCATCATACACAGTTACTCTACTAATTAGTTTCAGTATATGATAACGAATTCCCTCTGACCATAAAACTGGGCAGGACTTTGGACTTTGCTTTTTCCTCCGGTCTTGCGTTTGGAAAGGTTGTGGTCTTGTTCATGAGTAGTAATGAACCATGAACTGCCCTGCTTGCAAGCCATCATACACAGTTACTCTACTAATTAGTTTCAGTATATGATAACGAATTCCCTCTGACCATAAAACTGGGCAGGACTTTGGACTTTGCTTTTTCCTCCGGTCTTGCGTCCTATACCCGCTGTCCTCTCTCCTCTTGATCTCCCATTCCAGAGAAAGAGGAAGTAGGCAGCAGTGTTATTTTATAGGATTTTAGATTATCACATGCACCACTAAGCACTTGTTTGATGCCTGCTCTTCCCATCTTCCTGGTCTGAGGTTTTGCATCGAGAGTTTGCATGACAAAGAGAAGCTAAAGAGGGACAGCTTTTCGGTTTGCTCCAGTTCCACGCCGGTAAAGACTCCGCCACTCAAATATCTACCTCCTGTCCAAGTTTTTGATTCTGACAGGTTGGGGAAACTTCATTTGCCTGGGACCCCAGTGGCCACCCCTTTGCTAGGTGTAGGGGTTATTTCCTCCATTACTGGCCTGCTCCTGTTTCTTTAAAAACAGCCTACAAAAAAAAACTTTAATTGTTGAATTTCTACATTTTGGACTGATCTTAAAGCATGGAGGTGGTTGATCTTAAAGGCAAAGAAGCATTGCTCTTTTTAAAAGGCCACAGCTCGGTGTGTGAGAGTCAAAACAGTTTAAATTCAGTTATTTACAGTGTAAATATAAACCCTATTACATTTCCAGAATAAAAAGAGGCACTTAGAACATGCATAGTTCTTTTGCCAGGGTTCTCATCATCCTCACTATTGTCAGAGGCTGCAAATGTTCCGGTTCTGCTCTACAGTTGCCATCATCTAGCTACTGTTTTTCAATACTAATGCCAAAAGACCCTCGTTTAGCTGAAACTGGCAGGGGGTGAGTGGAATCCATAATTTTAAATAGGTCATCATCTGAGAGATGTCACTTCCAGTCATCCAAACTGGAAACTATGAAGAGCTTGTGTTGAAAAAAAAATTCCTGAACAGGGCCATGCCCAAAGAAAGGCAGGAAACGACGAAAAGCAATCTGAAAACCAAACTGTTTCTCCTCGGAAGGCGTAGTTAAGAAACCTGGCTCCCATAATAAGAAGTTTGAAGTCTTTAGAGGTGTGCTTTTCCAGGTTTAGGGGATGCAATCTTCAGAATTCCCCCAAAACTTCTGGGAGTTTTAGCCCATAAACCCACAATCCACAGTTCTGTAGGTTTCACACACACACACCCCACCCTGTGGAGAGGCTTGTGAGTTATTTATCTGCACTATCGACTTCTCTAGCCTTTGTTTTGTGTTGTTTATTTGTTTCTTAAAGAAGGCTGCTGAAGTGCTTTCTGGGAATTGTAGTTCTTGAGGAGGCACCATCTCTAGAGTCTAATGGGCAGTGAGACTACACCTCCAAGGATGCTCTGCAGCTTGCTTCTTTCTTTCTTTCTTTCTTTCTTTCTTTCTTTCTTTCTTTCTTTCTAGTTCTTGAGGAGGCACCATCTCTAGAGTCTAATGGGCAGTGAGACTACACCTCCAAGGATGCTCTGCAGCTCTGCAGGGGAGGGGTATGGGGAGAAAGGGAACTAGTTGTCTCCTGTGCTCCCAGAGGCTTCTGGTGGGGCCCCTGCGAGATACAGGAAGCTGGACTAGATGGGCCCTTGGCCTGATCCAGCAGGGCCCTTCTAATGTTATTATATTCTTTCTTTCTTTCTTTCTTTCTTTCTTTCTTTCTTTCTTTCTTTCTTTCTTTCTTTCTTTCTTTCTTTCTTTCTTTCTTTCTTTCTTTCTTTCTTCACACTGGGAAAGTCAGTGGTGCAGGGAAATAACCTGAAAAGCCCCTGCAGGTGTGTAAATTTGGGTTTTCAAGCTGCCATTCTTGATGAATTCTGGGGATTTCACATGAAAGAGCACACTCCTGGAAGTCTCACTTATTTGGACCACAACAGCCAAAACCCAAGAGCTGTCCAGGGGATTCTGGGAAAAATAAAAAAGTTTTAAAAATGGTTATTTCCAAACTCTGCCTGTAATAAAGAGATTCTCAGGCCAACTAGCTCTCGTGTTATCCATACCTGGAACTGTGCCCTTGGGTTTTCAGCCAGCGCCTTTCCTGATCTCACTCTGCCTATGCAAGGAATTGAAACGGGAGCCCTTGGCCTCCAGGAGGAAGCTTCCACTACCAAGATATAAATAATCGATGTATCCTGAAAGCTTGTAGTGCTTCTCCTTGAGGCCAAGCCTCCGTGAAAGAACTGCACTTTCCATTTATTTATCTTTTGAGTGTTGATGCTCCCTTTCCAGGAGCCATGCCATGAGGAGTGGTTCTTAAGAACTCCTGCGGATTTCTTGCTGAAGGAACTGCCCTAGTTCACAGATAACCTTAGATCAAAGCAATTGTAGAAATATGCCCTATTATATGTCCGTGCCTTATTTACTTATATGGCCACCACAGCTAATGCATGCAAATCTTCAGGGCAATGTTGTGATGAAATCACAGAGAAATCCTAGCTGTATGCTCATATACATCAGGGACACATCTGGACTGCTGTTAATCACAGGTAAGGCATGAAAATCTTCAGGGCAATGTTGTGATGAAATCACAGAGAAATCCTAGCTGTATGCTCATATACATCAGGGACACATCTGGACTGCTGTTTTTGTTGAACAGAGGCTCTATCACTTTATGGCAGGAAAGGCATCTGTTCAGAGGCATTCTTTCAGGGCAAGTTGTTTAAGATCTAACTATGGGTCATCAGATTATACTTTAGAGGGATGTAATTTGACCAGGGGTGGCTCGTGAAAGGGGAAGGGAGGTTCTGGGCACTCTTATTGGCTCATGAAGCTGATAGTGAAGCTTCCAATGTCCACCCACAAAATGAAGTAAGATAATTCAGAAGCTAATGTAACTTGCCTTTTGTTTCTGTCCATGGAGTTTTCTTGGCAAAGATACTGGAGTGGCTTGCCAGTTCCTGCTCCAGGTGGATTGCGTTTAGCCAGAACTCTCCACTATGACCTGTCCGTCTCGGGTGTCCCTGCACGGCATAGCCCATAGCTTCTCTGATTTACTCAAGCCCCTTTGCCATGATAAGGCAGCAATCCATGAAGGAGGCCACAAAGGTCCGCATGGTCAAAGCTATGGTTATCAGATTATACTTTAGATGGGATGTAATTTGACCAGGGATGGCTCGTGAATGGGGAAGGGAGGTTCTGGGCACTCTTACTTGCTCATGAAGTTGATAGTGAAGCTTCCAATGTCCACCCACAAAATGAAGAAAGATAATTCAGAAGCTAATGTAACTTGCCTTTTGTTTCTGTCCATGGAGTTTTCTTGGCAAAGATACTGGAGTGGCTTGCCAGTTCCTGCTCCAGGTGGATCGCGTTTAGTCAGAACTCTCCACTATGACCTGTCCGTCTTGTGTGAAGGCAAGAGGAGAAGGGGACGGCAGAGGACGAGATGGTTGGACAGGGTCATCAAAGTGACCAACATGAATATGACCAAACTCTGGGAGGCAGTGGAAGACCGGAGGGCCTGGCGTGCTCTGGTCCATGGGGGTCACGAAGAGTCAGACATGACTTAATGACGACAACAACAACAATGTAATTTGCAGGCTACAGAAGCTGTGGGAAATTCCTGCTGCGAGAACCAATTTGTTTCAATGCTTAAAGGAATTCCACCTGCTTCATTCTGACCTGTAAGAGTTGAAATAGGAGCTGGAGAAGATTTTGGCCCTTCCTTACCTAGTGCTGGCTGGTGACTATAGTTTGGAGTGTGTGCGATTCCATTCTGTTCTGCAGTTTACAAGAGTTATTGAAGGGTTGAATCCTCACCCATACCAGGTCAGCGCCTTAGATAACTTTTGGAAAG